CACCGGCTTAGCCGGCTTGTGGGGGATGACATCACTTTCAGCTTCTTCCTCAGAGTCCTCGGACGTAAACCTGAAGTCGGCTCCACGCAGCTCTGCAACCGCCTCTGCCAGGAACTGCAATCCGCCCACTATCTCCTCCTCCTCCACCTGGGTCCCCCAATCCACAGGCAGCTGCCCAGGGGGGAGGGACTCTGATGATCCTGCCACCACGCTGTCTTCCATTTTAGACGCCATTTCCTCTGAGGGTGCTGTGGGCTCAACCTGCCCCTGCTCGCCTTCCACCAGCAACTCCCCCGACAATTCCTCCACCGAAGAGGCCTCCTCCACCGGACCCCGCATCGCCGCAACACTGCGGCTTCTTGCAGCCTTAAATCTCGCTTCATTCAGATACTTTTCGCTTAGGACGCTGCTCTGGCGCTGCAGCGCCGCCACATACCTCCCCTGCTGTGACACACGAAGTTCCAGCGCCTCCAGGTCCGGTTTCATGGCCTGCTGCTTAGTAGACCATACACGGTCGTAGGATGACCGGAACTTCTTTAGCTCCAGAGTCAGCTTCTGGAGCTTGGCTTCCTCCTTGTCTATTAACCTGGCCCGAGCGGCCACACGGTCCCGGTAGGCAGAATAAACTTCCCCCTTCCTAGGGGCCATTCCCAGGTCCTCTACTGGTGGAAAAGAGAGGCCGGTACTAGGCCCCTCCAGGGCCTTCTCCCCGCTGGACCCAGGCCCAGGATCCGCCATCCTGCCTGGGCTGGGCAGGGCACTTTAGCCCCAGGCTTCTCGGGCCTTTCTGGAGCTCAGCAGACAAGTGCAACACACCCTCTCTCAGGAATGAATTCACCAATAATGGTGGGACTCAGCTGCCTTGTGATCTGCAGTACCAGGGCTGGCCAGCGGGTGCTCCCAGCAATCAGAGACTCAACCTTTCAGCCAGCTAACACCTGGAACTGATGATACTGGTGTATTTAAGGGATGGCCAGACTTGCAGACTCTGCCTTGGTGTTGTGTTTGTCCTGGGCCCTGTATCTGTCCTGCATCCTGTTTCTGTTCCTTTGCTGACCCTGCCTGATCTGAACCGCTGCTGACTTCTCCTGCTCTGATCCCGGCTCGCTCCTGACCATCCCTCTGCCTGACCCTCTGTACCACGCTGCTTGCTACCTGTTCTGATCCCTGGCTTGTGACCCTGACCATCCCTCTGCCTGACCCTCTGTACTACGCTGCTAGCTACCTGCTGAACCTGGCCTGTGACCCCGACCCATCTCCGCTTGCTCCCCCTGTACCTACCTGCTCGCTGTCCAGCCAAATGACTAGATGCCTGGTGACCCGATGCCCGCTGTCCAGCCAGACGATCCAATGTCTGACCCAGTGCCAGCGGTCATGCCAGTTGACTCGGAGCCCACTGTCGTGCCTGGTGACTCGGTGCCCGCCGCTTCGCCTGGGGGTCCGAGACCTGTCGCTCCGCCTGGGGGTCCGGCGCCCGCCGCTCCGCCTGGGGGTCCGGCGCGCCCGCCGCCCCGCCTGGGGGCCCGAGACCTGTCGCTCCGCCTGAGGGCCCGAGACCTGTCGCTCCACCTGGGGGTCCGGCACCCGCCGCTCCGCCTGAGGGCCCGAGACCTGTCGCTCCGCCTGGGGTCCGGCGCCCGCCGCTCCGCCTGAGGGCCCGAGACCTGTCGCTCCGCCTGGGGGTCCGGCGCCCGCCGCTCCGCCTGAGGGCCCGAGACCTGTCGCTCCACCTGGGGGTCCGGCGCCCGCCGCTCCGCCTGAGGGCCCGAGACCTGTCGCTCCATCTGGGGGTCCGGCGCCCGCCGCCCCGCCTGGGGGCCCGATGCCTGTCGCCCCGCCTGGGGGCCCGGCGCCCGCCGCCCCGCCTGGGGGCCTGGCGCCCCCTCTCCGCCTGGGGGCCGGTGCCCGCCGCTCCGCCTGGGGGCCCGATGCCTGTCGCCCCGCCTGGGGGCCCGATGCCGGTCGCCCCGCCTGGGGACCCGATGCCGGTCGCCCCGCCCGGGGGCCCGGTGCCTGTTGCCCCGCCCGGGGGCCCGGTGCCTGTTGCCCCGCCCGGGGCCCGGTGCCTGCTGCTCCGCCCGGGGGCCCGGTGCCTGCTGCTCCGCCTGGTGGCCCGCTGCCTGCTGCTTCGCCTGGTAATCCGATGTGCCTCTGCCCGTGCCGATGTGCCTCTGCCCGGAGTCTGCCCGATGTGCCTCTGCCCGGAGTCCTGCCCGATGTGCCTCTGCCCGGAGTCCAGCCCGATGTGCCTCTGCCCGGTGTGCCCTGCCCTGCCTCCCGGTGTGCCTCTGCCCGGTGTGCCTCTGCCCGGTGTGCCTCTGCCCGATGTGCCTCTGCCCGGTGTGCCTCTGCCCGATGTGCCTCTGCCCGGAGTCCAGCCCGATGTGCCTCTGCCCGGAGTCCAGCCCGGTGTGCCGCTGCCCGGAGTCCTGCCCGGTGTGCCAGTCTTTGATATCCCGCCAGTTACCAGACCCGGGTGGTGGAACATTTTGCCCAGCTAGGACTGTTTGGAGCGTCCTGAGGCCGCTCCTTGAGGGGGGGGGGTACTGTCAGGAATGGACTGGCCAGCAATGGTGGGACTCACCTGCCTTTTGATCTGCAGTACCAGGGCTGGCCAGCAGGTGCTCCCAGCAATCAGAGACTCAACCTTTCAGCCAGCTAACACCTGGAACTGATGATACTGGTGTATTTAAGGGATGGCCAGACTTGCAGACTCTGCCTTGGTGTTGTGTTTGTCCTGGGCCCTGTATCTGTCCTGCATCCTGTTTCTGTTCCTTTGCCGACCCTGCCTGATCTGAACCGTTGCTGACTTCTCCTGCTCTGATCCCGGCTCGCTCCTGACCATCCCTCTGCCTGACCCTCTGTACCACGCTTCTTGCTACCTGTTCTGATCCCTGGCTTGTGACCCTGACCATCCCTCTGCCTGACCCTCTGTACTACGCTGCTAGCTACCTGCTGAACCTGGCCTGTGACCCCGACCCATCTCCGCTTGCTCCCCCTGTACCTACCTGCCCTATTGATATTGACCCGGCCTGCCTGACGACGCTTGCTTGTATGTACTGTTATCTGTGGGTGGTTGGTTTGGTTTGTTTGCACTGTATTATGTTTTAGTATTGCACTGCGTTTATGTTTGTATTGTTAGTGTTAATAAATTATATTGTTTATCACATATCTGAAGTCTGTGTTTCCCTGCGTCAGTCACACACCTCTGGTCACACCTGGGAGCCCTGACACATTACCTGTATCAATAGCACCTGTTTGAACTTGTTATCAGTATAAAAGACACCTGTCCACAACCTCAAACAGTCACACGCCAAACTCCACTATGGTGAAGACCAAAGAGCTGTTGAAGGACACCAGAAACAAAATTGTTGACCTGCAACAGGCTGGGAAGACTGAATCTGCAATAGGCAAGCAGCTTGGTGTGAACAAATCAACTGTGGGAGCAATAATTAGAAAATGGAAGACATACAAGACCACTGATAATCTCCCTCGATCTGGGGCTCCACGAAAGATCTCATCCCGTGGGGTCAAAATGATCACAAGAATGGTGAGCAAAAATCCCAGGACCACACGGGGGGACCTAGTGAATGACCTGCAGAAAGCTGGGACCAACGTAACAAAGGCTACCATCAGTAACACACTACGCCGCCAGGGACTCAGATCCTGCAGTGCCAGACGTGTCCCCCTGCTTAAGCCAGTACATGTCCGGGCCCGTCTGAAGTTTGCTAGGAGCATTTGGATGATCCAGAAGAGGATTGGGAGAATGTCATATGGTCAGATGAAACCAAAATAGAACTGTTTGGTAGAAACACAACTCGCCATGTTTGGAGGAGAGAGAATGTGTAACGGACCACCTGACAGCACCTCTATCAGTCCCCTGATAGAGCCTCCCCAGAGTGCGGAGTCTAAGTACCGGAACACTTATTCACCAGGGCCCCTGATGGTGGGGATGGACTATATTTATTTTATTTTATTTTTTTTATTATATTTTTTATTGATTCAATTTTTTCAAAATCTAACACAACACTAATACATAATCATCTAATACTCATTACAATCTTCATTTACCCTACCCCTACCCTCCCATTACCCCCTCCCCCCCACCACACTCTCCTTTTCTATTCTCTTCTTATTTCACTGATGCTCTATCTTCACCATTTATTATACCTCTTATCGCCCTATTCCTCCCTCTTCTCATTCTCTTTTTCCCTCTACCCAGTCAGTTCAACATATCTCCGTATAGTCCTATAATCACACCACCTTTCCCAGGTTTTTATACATTTTCCCATTTTATCTTCTCCACTGTGGTATAGTTCTTCTTTCATATATATATATTCTAACCTCTTTATCCATTCTTTAACTTTAGGTGTTCCTTGGGCTTTCCAAAATTTAGAGATCAATCCTCTTGCCACATTAATTAAATGAGGTACAATCGTGTTATTATTATTATTACGGTGAGATTCGTGTTATGAAATAAACACACCCATGGGTCCATTATTATACTTCTCCTACAATTTCTGATATTTGTTGTACTATCATCTGCCAAAATTCCTGTATTTTGGGACATTCCCCCCATATATGGGACATTGTACCCTTTATCCCACATCCCCTTCAACAAAGTAAGGAATTCTCTGGGTGATACTTATGAATTCTAGGCATGACATACCATCTTGTCAGGAGTTCATAGTTCAGCTCAACTGTATTCATATCAGTTGCCCCATGAACAATTCTAAATATATTCTTTTTTCTGTTGCTCATTCAGCTATGTTTCCAGCTCATTTTCCCATTTGTCCATATATGGTAAGACTGGTTTAGATATTATAGTAAGTATCTTATACATACGTAAAGTGCAATGTTTTTGTGTTGTCATTCTAAACTCATCAAATGCTCTAATGGGTGCAAATTTTCAAGAGCTTTTATTGACTGTAGAAGTGCTGTAAAAAATTATTTAGTTATTATAGTTAATAACACCATTCATCCATCACAGAAAACATATCCCTTTTGTGTTTCAACTCCTGAGAAGAACATATTTCTCCCTTTTTCATAATATCCTTTAGAAATGCATTACTATCTTTTATCCACATTCCTGATATAGTACTCTCCCCTGGTGTGAAATATTTTGTTCCTACTAGTGGTATTAGTGGTGAATTATACCCCCTTCCTCTTTGTTTATGAATTAAATCCCATACCTTAAAGAAATTTCATATTAAATTGCTAGAATTTTCAGCAAACGTGTTGTGGAATCCATAAAATTTTATCTAATTGTACTGCACTTAGCGGTTTTCAATCTTTACCCAACTTTTCCCGTGTGCATTATAGACCCATTACATTATTCATGACAGTAATACTGCAAAATAATATCTTTTAAAATTCGGCATATTTAAACCCCATTTATTTTATCTTTACATAGAACCTCCTGCTTAACGTTTCATTTTTTATTTGCCCATATGTATCTGATTATCATTCTTTTCAAGACCCTGAAATACACCTGCGGCAAACATATCGGTAGCATTTGAAATTTATATGGGATTTTAGGAAATATCACCATCTTAACTACCGTATTTTTCGCTCCATAAGACGCACCTGACCATAAGACGCACCTAGGTTTTAGAGGTGAAAAACAAGAAAAAAAATTATTCTGAACCAATGGACTGCAGACACAGTACAGGGGATGACCAGAGACTGCGGACACAGTACAGGAGATGACCAGAGACTGCAGACATAGTACAGGAGATGACCAGAGACTGCGGACACAGTACAGGAGATGACCAGAGACTGCGGACACAGTACAGGAGATGACCAGAGACTGCGGACACAGTACAGGAGATGACCAGAGACTGCGGACACAGTGCAGGAGATGACCAGGGACTGCGGACACAGTGCAGGAGATGACCAGAGACTGCGGACACAGTACAGGAGATGACCAGAGACTGCGGACACAGTGCAGCAGATGACCAGAGACTGCGGACACAGTGCAGGAGATGACCAGGGACTGCGGACACAGTGCAGGAGATGACCAGAGACTGCGGACACAGTGCAGGGGATGACCAGAGACTGCGGACACAGTGCAGGAGATGACCAGAGACTGCGGACACAGTGCAGGGAATGACCAGAGACTGCGGACAGTACAGGGAATGACCAGAGACTGCAGACAGTGCAGGGAATGACCAGAGACTGCAGACAGGGAATGACCAGAGACTGCAGACAGTGCAGGGAATGACCAGAGACTGCAGACAGTGAAGGGAATGACCAGAGACTGCTGACCTTTGGGGAGGGAGGGGGAGCGGGTACCTGAATTTGACAGGTACCCGCTCCCAGTTCCGCGGAGTTGTCCTTCCCTCTTCTTCCCGGGCCGGCTTCTGTGACAGCCGGGTGCCCACTGCGCATGTGCGAGAAGCGCTGCGATTTTTGAATGGCCCGGCGCCTTCTGGGACCTTTCATGTGTCCCAGAAGACACCGGATTATTCACAAAGCACAGCACATGCGCAGTGGGCACCCGGCTGTCACAGAAGCCAGCGCGGGAAGACTGTGCAGCGCTGGAGCGAGGAACAGGTAAGGCCTTGCAGGAGACAACAGCTGAGAGCGGCCGGCCCGGTATTCTGACATGGTGGCCGCAAAAATACCGGACCGGCCGCCTTATATTCGCTCCATAAGACGCACTGACATTTCCCCCCTTTTTTTGGGGGAAAAAAGTGCGTCTTATGGAGCGAAAAATACGGTATATTTATTCGCCCTATCCAAGAAAGTGATCCTTTTGAAAATTTTCCTCAATTCCTCCTTTATCTCATTTATTAATGGGATATAGTTTGCATGATATATACTCTTCAGTTACGAGGTTAACTTAGTTTGATTATTTATCCCTCCATGTAAGAGGAAACTGTGCCTGTCTTTCTACCTTCGGTAAATTATTATTCAATATCTCTGACTTTGAAGGATTAATTTCAAAATTTGACAGCTCTCCATATGTTTAAGTGTTCTCATTAAATTTGGTAGCGTTCATCTAGGATTTACAACATAAAATAACATATCACTTACATACGCCGCAACTTTATGCTCTATCTCTCCAAACTGAATTCCTTTTATATCTACACTGTTTCCTATGCTCGTTAACAGGGGCTCTAAAGATAATATAAACAGGAGAGGTGAAATTGGATATCCCTGCCTTGTTCCATTATACATTATAAAAGGTTGTGAACCATTAATCTTCAATGCTGCTGAGGGGTGATTATATACATTTTTTATCCACTGCATCATTTTGATTCCTAATCCTATTTGCCTCTAAAGTACTCATCATAAATCCCCAGTCTACATTTACATTTTTGGTTGTAACATGACAAAATGTCAAAGGTTATACTTTTTCAAGGCACTGTATGTCCACACACATATGTAGATGCATATAGTGACACAAAACCCTGATTGTATTATAACAGATGTTC